AATACTGACAATTTTAGACACAATGTCTGTGCTTATAATTAGAACAGTGATCTTGCATAGTCACTTCAGAGAAAGAAAGTGTCTCAAATCCCAAAACAGAACTATTCTGTTTTCTTGCATAGAAATGTTTCTTCTGTAGATTTCAGTACAACTCAGCTGCCAAGGCTAACTGCACACTCCCACCAAGAAAAGTGGGTCCATTTCTTTGTCCTTCCCTCTTCTTTGCCACTGGGGCCTTACACAGCCAGTTAACACAGCAGCAAACTACTGCTGTCAGATTAGGTTTTGCCTGTTTAGCAGGCTGAACTGGCTCAATGACACATTCCTCAAGTAGCAGGCCGAGCGCAAAGGAGGGCACAGACATGTCTCCCTCTGCCAGCGTCACTTACACCTCTGCCAGGCTTCACAGCAGCCCAGCCACTCCCAACAGGGGGTCAGGATGGGGAGCCCCATGTTCTTTACTGCTCAGTGGACAGGTTGGCACTTATTAATGCCACTTACAGCAAATGTAGTCTTACTGTAATACATAAATTGCTATTTTAAAGCTAAGTATTCTGAAAACTCAGTTTTCACTACAAATTAGGTGTGAAAGCAATCAGCACCTTTCACTTCCAATGTTACATCTCAGTTGCCTCCCTGAGAAATAAGCATTCTACGTCCCATATTTTTAAGGAAGGGTGTGTCGAAGAAAAAAACCTAGTCACTCACAACATAGTGATTAACTCCCCCAAAAAATAAATTCATGTAGACAAAAAGGTCATAACTAGCAACTCCAATTCTAGCATCTTCCTATCTGAGTATGCAGTCTCAACACTCTTCTTAAAAATGTGTAATTTCAAAGGAGACATCAGCTGGGTTTCAGCAGCCTTGCTTCCCCTCTTCATCATACAGCAGGACTAATGCTGCCCTATTACATAAGGCTTTTTTTTTTTTTTTAAGGCTTTTGTAATGGCTTAGGACTGCTTTCCAGTAACGAATTATATAATTAATATGTCACTCAGTTATTCACTCTCTTTTCTTTACACAGTGATTTCTCCCACAGTACCGTGTTCTGAATTTTCAGATTTTTAGAAACATTGGAAGAACACCTTGTCTTTTAGGCTAGAGAGGAATGAGACCAAAAATAATGCTTCAAGTTAATTATGCAGTCAGCAGGTCTCCTGAAACTCTGTTACAGAAGGGCTTTATTTTAGGCACTCTTAAGCAGGGCCCATGGTTCTTACTCCAGTGCTTAAACGATGGTTTGCTCTGGTCTAAATAGTGAACCCCTCTACAGTCCATGAGTCTTTTGGAGAAGACAGTCAAATTCTTTGATTAATGTAACAAACATTTTCCACACAATACTGCCATTAAACAGACAATATGCTACAAGGTGGCATAAGTTCATAGAATGTTACCAAACATATTGTGTCGCCCAGACAGGGCAAGATGTTCTTTACAGTTTGAAACGATTGAAAAGCTAAATTTCATGGTCATTCTAGTCCATGTACTAACTCATTGGCTCTATAGCTAGAAAGCTCACCAGTCAGTTGCAATGCTTTTATTCAGGTTGAATCTCCATTCATACAGCTTTTCTGTTTGGGTTTTCCCCATTTTCTTTTTTTGTTGTTGTTTGAGGGGGGGTTGTGGGTTTTGGTTTGGTTTTTTTTGGGTTTTTGTGGTTTTGTTTTTTTTTTTTCTTTCTGGTTTGAGGAATGGGCTGTGTGAGCTTTATGTTTCGTATTCATGCTATGTTAATACTTCCAAGCAGTGCAAAAACTGTGGTGTAGTTAGTTGTTGTCCATGATTTATTAAATTTTTTCTTCAACAGTGACCCACAATCAGTAGTATAATACTGAGTGGAACGAGGAATATAGGCTTTTACAAAGCCATTTATCACTGTTGGATTTTAACATATTTAATAGTAACAGTCTAGGCTTAATTTTTATCTCCATTCTCTTTTCTTTACTAAACTATTAAAACAGCGAGTTCACTCTTAAACTATAACAATTTACCCTTATGGTGATTACACAAGCATATGTTTAATACATCTTTGCGTTTTAATCATTTCACTCCCTCCTAAAATAATTCCATTCTCTCCAAACTTACTCAGTCGTAACAAACCTATTTGTAAACAAACAACCCGAAAAACACCTCAAGACAGATGGAAAGTATCAGGGCAAGATACTAATGCAAATTAAATGAACTAACTTCTACTTTAAAAATAAATGAAATGTTGTTATAAACAATACAGAAAACTCAAAATTTGCCACTGAGTAGAGAGTTGACAATTAATATTGGCTAACAAACTAAAGCTGAGGCCTTGAAAGCACTCAGAATTGATGCCTCAAAAAGCCTCAGCATACATGCTTCCCTTATATTTATGACTGAAACCTTGCACACAGTCTCTAATTACTCTTTTACTGCAGCAGTTGCACCAAATCCTTGCTACAATTATATGGGATTTGACACACCAGAGCTACCACCTAGATAACTCAAAGTGTGACCACTGTTCCAAACCTTCTTTACAACCAATTTCATGCAACAATTCTATTGATTATAATGACTGCAGAATGAGGAGTATCCAGCATGTTCTCAAGGGTAAATTAAAATGTAGTAATAGTCTTGCCACTTAGTCTGTATAGCTGTGTGCCAGCCTGGCACTGATATTCAACAGCTCTTGAGAATACTGCTGATAATATATTAGGGAAGCCTTTCCTACAGTAACGATGGATATTTCAGGATCAGTATCCCTCTCTATCTTTCAGGTGACATCAATCCAGTGATTTAAAAAAAAAATCAACCAAACAAAAAAGACCAACACAACCAACAAAACCCCCCAGTCCTTTACACCTTTTACACGTAATGAGCTGAAATCTACAATTTTTTTAGTTAATTTAAAATACTATTCACTTCCATCAGCTCTTTATATAGTATCTGTACAATACATTTATAATAAAACCCTTGTGAAATTACTGAAATAAATAATTTCTGTAACGGAGTAATTATGGAAATTCTGTCCTCTTTTTAAATTGTAAAAAAAAAGTATAATAAAATCCCTGTTCATTACATCAACACAAAATAAAGTGAAAGCTATTCATAATTTTTACTCAAAGTCAAATATCATAATATTTACATATATACTGGTTTTAGGAGAAAATGTCTAAATATGCATCCTTCAAGATCCCATTCAATTAGCAGTCCTACAACTGCTGTTTAGGACATGATATTATCCCTCAAAAAAGACATCTGGTTTCACATACTTTTTAAGTCCCACAGATTCTGTACATGTACAGAAATGTACAAAAACGTAGTTTCTAAAAAACTCATTAAATATAGTGAATTTGCTCACATCTTCATTTGCATCATTTTGAGTTAAACTGAGCGTGCAAACTAAGATCTATTATTAACCAAATTATCACATCTCTATTGCAAGTCACCATAATATGAAAAATTAAGGCTTACAAAAGCTTACAAGTTCCACTTTTTCAACACAGTGCCACATGGGTAGATCTAGCCATTTGCCTCAGCTACCCAAGATATTACTGAGTAGAGAAGTGTTATGAATAAATACTGTACAGATTAAAAGAACCAAACAGAATGTCGTTATAGTATAAAGCTGCAGAAGCAAAGCAAATCCTTGATGAGTTAATGAAGTCTGAAGGTATCTAAAAGCAAGTAAGTTCTAATAGATTCTAGTACATTATTAGAGACATGCAGAAGTTATTAAAAAAAATTAACTGCTTCTACTCTTCAGAAGACAAGTTCCCAGGTTCTTTTGTTAAAATGTCTATTATATACATTTTCAGATTGCATGCTTATCTGCCCACACAAAGTCAATTAATTAATGTACTTCTGAATTACAAATGCTGAAGATGGTAAGACTGGGTAAAAAAGGTCATTATGTGCATGCCTTTCTTACATTCTACAGTGGTTTCATCCATCTTCGAAAGTAAGACAGCACTGCACATGAACTGAGGTCAAGAATAATCCCACACTTTGCTAACATCCTAGACAGAAACGTAACTTCCTTCATTCTAAATGTTTCCTGTGCTTCAGAGAAGCACCAGCATAATAATTTTCTTCAAAATGCATTTCCAACAAATTACAAAGATGTACTGCCAACTAACAGGTGCTGACCTCCCACTTTCAGATCTGGCCACTTTTTTTCCCATCCTGTCCCTTCTCAAAACGGCACCAGTATTTATTTGGGTCAAAACAGCTTACTAACTAGGAAATTTTTTTATCCCACCGAACTATTCTCTCACATTAGCTGATCAAAGTCTAGCTTCTTTCCTATTCCCACTGTAACCCTCTAACATGGACTAGAACATTTTTTTACACCTCCTAAAAGAGAAGCTGAGTGAAAGCCTCAAATATGTGCAATCCTCAATTGTTATGGAACAATGCAAATTGTCTGGTTTTATTCACGATAAGGAATAGAAAGGTCCAAAAAAAATTTCAGCAAAACAGATGGACAATTCTTTCCTGTACTTCACAGCCCTTAGATGATGTGATATCTTCAGAAGAAACTCAACATGAGCTCTCAGAAATGTCCCTAGCAGAAAAACAATCAGGTTTAGTACTAGTACATAAGAGCTTGTTAAAATGTCCTTAGAAAGAATGCCAGAGAGATGATTTGAACACCAGCATTTGGAGGTAGAAAACATTAGACACTGAATTTTTTTTTTTTTTTTAAGAAAGAAAATCATGATGGGCCACCGAAACCAATTTACATTTTGAAGACAGGTTCAAAAGAAAAAACTTCAGCTACTATTGTCACAAAAATCTTACCAATATTGAACTTGCAAATTTTTGGAGTTAGATATTGCAACAGTGTGTAACTGATGTGAAGCCTGTCAATAATCAATAGGAGCTTAATTACCATTTTCCTCACATAGAATCATACAAAGCCATTTAGGGAAGGGGCTGAGATTCTTTTTCAACCAGAGTCTCCTCAAATAATAGGTGGTTTGCAAAAACTTACTGGAATGTTTACAAGAAGTAAAACATTTACTTGCCTCTACCTCCAAAACTGCTGGATCATGGCTGTCTCTGCTCTTAAAGAAGACCTGAAAAGCAAAAAAAAATTGGGCTTGTGCCCTATTTTGCTTCCTTAAGATGTTTGAGAGGCATGAAAAGTTGGAATTAGGGTTTGTTTGGGGGGGGATTGTTTGTATAGGTTTTTTCCCCCCTTTGATGAACATAAATGATCCCTTCTTCTTTACTTGAGACTGAAATTTCAAAAAGCCATAATACAAGACAACCTAGTTCAGGAAAAACAATGCAAGAGTCAATAGAATCTAAGTCACAGAAGAAAGAACAAACTTCATTTTTTTTTCCCCTACCTCCCCTACTTCCTTCAAGTTCTCCTTCATTTGAATGATGAATAACACAAAAATCCCTTTCCAGGGTTAAGTATTCTTGCACTACCACTGCTAGTGGTACTGGTGATTTGCACACATATTTATGATTTAACATTATGCATGCTAAGGAAAAAACAAAAAAAAAAGGGAAAAATTTCAATTAGAAATTTGATTGCATTTTAAAATTCTAAGATAAATGCAATAGAGGAGAAAAACTCAAATCCCTTTCAGGGACTTTTATATTTCAAAACAGAAAAATAAGTAGGAAAATAACTGTTAGAAGTTCTCTGCTAATGGAAAAAAGAGAAAAACCCACAAGCTGGCTAGCTATAAAAGGCAGACAAACGTGACTTCCCCTTCCACTACTAACATGGCCTGTAAGGCGGTTTGTACGTATGCTGTAGTGATGCAGTTATAAAAGCAGCTGTAATGTTTTTTTCCTAAAAAAATAGAATATTACATCTTATATCTCGATGCTAATTTAAAAGTAACATAAAATTGGAAGTCAAATTTATACCAGATGCAAATTAGCAAGGAAGATAGTTTATTTTAACTAATGCCCATTACTGTTGGAGCAACTAAACTAGCTCATTAATTTGAAGTGAGATGGGATGGTGCCACGTAATCCATTCAAAAAATTGTTCAAAGCCCCTTCTCTCTTCCTTCCACCCTGTGATGGTTCAGACTTGGCTCCCTGCCAAATGCCCAAAGCCCAGTAGCAGCCTCCCCCCCCTTCCCCCTTCCTTCTTCCCCCAGGGCAAAGGAAAAAAAAAAATGCAAATTGAAGAACCCGAAAAAATCAAGCTAGTTACATAAAAAATATATTTGTTTTTTTTTTGGTTGGTTGGGATGGGAGTTTTTTGTTTGGTTGGAAGGAGGCATGCTTGGTGTTTTGTTTTTTTCCCCTCCATATATATGAAACTATAAACAGGGAATGGAATTAAATAGGAAAAAAAAAAAGGAAAAAAGGAATATTTCAAAAAAGTAATGAAAAAAAATCAAAATTAAGAAAATCAAGTTTAGTTCAGAAGAGTGACTTAGAGATCTAGAAAGCATATGATTCCAGAATCATACACAAGACGACTAAACCTACAGAAAAAAAAAAAAAATCACAATATGATACTCATTTCTCCTTCTGTTGAACAAGAATTCTTTTCATCAAAACCTTCCTACTTTTCTGGATTTATGGTGACATAGCAAACAAAGTTCAAGTGAAAATATTTTAATGCAGACATTGATGTATCTCATATCATCGAATGCAAAGGTGAAGTTCAACTCTGCAAGTTGAGTTTATTTAATAACCAGTTGTCACTGAAAATAGCAGTCCTGACTCTGCTACTTCCACTGAGCTGCCCCTGCTGCTTAGGCAACCGTGCAGGAGCCAATGAAGAAGCTCACAAACTCAACTGACTCCTGAGGATGCACATGAAACAGTGGGAACAGATGTCCTAAAGCTTTTAATGGGAACTGACCATTAGATCAACCCAAACATAGTGCCATACCACTCACAGAAAACCTTCAATAATTTGCAATGGCAAGAAGATTTCATCCTTTGAGGACTACTAATATGATTCACTTACAGAGCTCAGGCATTACTCCGCTTAAAAGTGTGTGAGCCTCTTCAATCCTGCATAATTTGATGAAAACTTAAGTAAAGACACTATGAATTAAATTCTAAGTTAAGGACATATGTGGCTATTTCAACATTCATTATGTCAGCTGTATAAAGAAAAGTGTATTTATATTGTGTAGAATTTACTTTAAGTTTACCAAACATATGAATGACACAGAAACATCTTGTTTTTAAAATAATATTTTTAATACTCTTTTTACTATGCAACACATCCTACACATGTAACACTTCTGCCTATGCAACTACTTCATACAAAGTATTAAATCCCATTTAAATGTTATGGAACAGAAGCAACTGACTGACTTTTGGGAAAAAAAAAAGAAAATTAAATCAAAGTATCCCAACTACCAGTTTCAATGCTGTTCTCCACAGGAATCTGAAAGAAATTAATCTGCTGCTGTAATTTATAAACTATGCATAGACCATATACTCAAAATTCCTGCTGCAAAATCATACAGTCTCACGGGGAAAGGCACTTTTCAGAAAAAAGTGCTCGTGTAAGTCAGAAAATCATCAGCAAAAATTGTTTATAGGTTTTTTTTCCCCCTCTCTTAGTAAAGCATGTTTTAACTATTTAACAAACTACAGTAATACTCAGCTAAAGTAAAAACCAAGTTTTCAGTGCTAGCCATGCTCACCTAAG